TTTAATTACGAAATTGTATATCAGAAAATAGATCTGTCTATAATAATCTATATTGCATAATGGATGCGAGAAGCATTCTTAATTAATATAAGGATTAGCTTGGAAATTTCGCGATTGGCGAAAGCTTACGCCAATGAAGCGGGCATTAATTATTCCCTTTAGATTACGCCCGACACGATCCGTAAGATCTCCCATACCCGTCCCGTTGCGTCGCCATCAATTTCGTCCCTTTCTCCGTGCAATAACTGCGCTCCTCTGTCTTTCTCGCTCTCTCGCTCCTCCAGGAAGCGTCAGAAAATCTGCCTCGCCTCATCGATGGTAATGCCTCCTTTTACGATCATCATATTTATAAATGTAACCTCTCCCTCTCCCCCTCCCGTTCTATCTCCATGGCCGATGAAAGGATCTCGTTAATTGGGAATACTGATGCCGGTACGAAGGCGAACTATACCGAATCGATCCCATCCCTCTGTCGTATATACACCGCCGCACCCCGCGCACTCATCTATCCGCCCACCCATGAGATCACGACGGCGGATAAGACCCGTGGGATGCCGTCAAAGGGAGCTTATATTTATGAGACTTTCGGCAAACAAATGGATAAATCTAATATCTTCGAGGCGAAATGGCCGAAGCCGCTTGAGAAACTGATGTCTGAGACGTGAATTCAACCAGCTTCTCTTGTATGAAGCTTGCGCTGGATTTTTCGGCTCCTAGTCGCGAGAAAATGAAGCATATATTTTTACAGGATTTTTACAGGATTACTAAAAAATAAATTTACGTTATGAAAATTACAATAAAACGATTTTGAAAATATTTCCGTGTTCAAAATATTTTATTTTTCAACACGGTTTTGATTATATTAATTTCACATTAAATGTAATCAAAACAAAATTTAATTAAATAGATAATAAAACTCAAAATTATATATACACACAATGTTGAATTTATTTGAAAATGAAAAATTAATTGGAGAATAAAAACAGTTGAAGTAATTATTAATATAAGAATATTTTGATTATAATTTGCCAATTATGAAAATCTTACTTTTTTCTTGGAACATTATACGTTGAGAACATTATGCATTGAGTATTGCTTTCATTAAGAAAAGTACGTTTTAATCGATGGTGCTATAGATACCGTCATATTATTTGAAACAAACATTCATAAAAGTACTCGTGCAACTGTCTGCGTTCACACGAGTTTCGATCAAAATCGATCGAGACACGATCGCATTAGCTCATACGGACAGATGGTTGATCGCAATAATCCAGCCGTGGCTTTCGAGCGGAAATGACGCGCGCTTAATACAACGACGGTCACCGATGATCTCACAGAGATGATACGCGGCGATAGGGATCGCTTCTCGTGCTATGAAATTGTTTAAAAACGAATACGGGGCCCTCGCATGGTCGGGCATCGTCGCCTTAATGACGCCAACTGTCACTAAAGGCCCCTTCGATCATGCGCTGCTTGGCGATGTGTCTTAATTGGTCCGCACAAGTCGACCGTTATTAACGCAGAAAGTGACGGTAATGCGAATATTATCCGTCCGCCGCGGCGGAGTGCCGCAACTTTTGACGGCAGGTATCGCATGCAGTTTTACGTTTTACGATGTAATTAGTTCACCGGGAATCGCACTCGTCGCATCGGAAATGCACGCGCGCGCGTGATCCGCGCGGTAACGTGTAACGTACATACGTAGGTATGGTATTGTGCCGGGGCGATATTTATGAGAATTTTACCTGTTTCTTTGATCACGATCATCACGAAGATACATAGACAATCGTTAACATTTGCGGTAACGCCGTGCGTCTGCCCTGCAATTACCAAGCCATAACTCACTCGCTACCACGCTGCATCTAATTACTATACTGACAAGCTGACTACAATCGGCTTTAACAATGCGTCTATTTTAAATTTTCCTTACTCGATCAAACGCGCTCGCCCCGTCGCGGAATTACACGCGCGATTCTCTACAGAGCGTATCCCGAATTTATTATTTTTACATGCGCAATGTCCATTAACCCCGATGAGCCGCACGCACTGCACGCACGAGTCATCGAGGCACCATGCCGCGCGCGCGCGAGGAAAGAAAAAATAAATAAATATTCGCGTATCTTTAATCTAACGCTGTCAGGCATATTCCGTACCGATAATACATTACGACAATGTATTCCCGTCGCGATTAGCGTGACCTTGACGCGGAGAGAGCGCAGCCGGTGTATACGCGACGCGTTTACGTTAAAGTCGCGGATACATGACTTTCGCGTCAGGAGAGATGCGCGGACGCGGAGACGTATCTTAACCCGGGATCAGTCTGGGCTGGTTAGCCGTCCAGTGGCATTTATAACTCGTCATTATTATTTGAGTTGATTTGAAACACGCGCGGTTGTAGCCTTTCCCCTCTTCGACTTCGCATGCGACCATCGTCGTGGTCGTCATCATCATCATTCTTCCTTACGCGCCGCCGCGCCGCCGCCGCGCGAGTAGCCGGCAGCTGCCACGAGACACGCATCGACGCACACGCGCCCCGGGCATGCACACGCGCGTACGTAATAAAACTTATCGATACTGACCGATCAATCCTATCGGGTGCCATCGATTGCGTTACCACTTCAACTGGTGGCGCGAACTGGTGTCGACTAATTAAATATTCGGAGTAATTAAATTATAATTATAATAATAGTAATACAGCGAGAAAGAAATATGCAAACGGGCCAATTATTACGCGTTAATTATCGATTGTCTTAAAACGGCAATATTTATATAAAAGAGTTTCATAGTTACATTGTCTTGTATATACAAAGCCGGAGTTTCTGAAATTTTTTTTACGTAATTAAATCCGAGAAAGAAGATAAAAAAAGCGTGTAATCCTTTTTATGTCGCGATATTATGTTGAAATTTATTTGTATCCCATTAAAAAAATTATCAAAAGTTTATAATTAAGAATATCGTATTCACATAATAGTTTTTATATCTTCTTTCATTTATTTTCTCTTATGATGACATTTAGAAATAGGAAACGTTATATACTATGAAAAAACACTGGACAGAACAATACCTATATCGAAGTGCAGAGGCTTTAGGGCGCGCATTCCTATCGCTCGTATATTCGTATCGAGATTCTCTGTCGAATCATTGGTACCGAGTACCGTTTTCGTTCTCCAGCGCCATCAAAAGCGCCATAAAAGAAGCGGCCGGCGATGGTCGACGGGGCCACCGCGGTGGCAGGGGAGAGGAGGAGGCACCGGGTGAAATTTGTCAGTATTAAATAAATAACCCATAAAGGCGGAACATCAATCCACCGTGGAGGCATTAACGCCCGATATAGAAGGGGGGCGAGGCACAACGGCTGTTATTTTTCATACCACCGGCTACATCTTATATACGAGCGTGCCTATATATCGAAGCTCACGCGTTCTTCCTCTCGCCGTAAAGGAGAGGACCTCCCCTTTCTTCTTGTTTCTTCCCGCGCGCTTTCCCGCTCTTCTCTTTCTTCTTCTTCTTCTTCTTCGAGGTTTTTACGACCGGCACGTTGGACCGTATCGCGAGTTACGCCGTAGATCAAAAGTGATGTGTCTATTATGACGTAAATACTTAAGATCCCTCGAGTCTCCGTTATGGTCTTCGACCTGGACGAAGTTTCGTCTCGATACGCGGTGCCGCAATTCGGGCTCCCTATATAAGTTTGCCGAAAAAAAAATTCTGTATTACAGCGTCGTCAGATGAAGAAATAAAGTAGAAGACGAGTGAACAGAGATTCGTATTTAAAACGCTTTAAAAATTCGATACTGATCATAATATTATTCGGTGCTGAATTAATCTCATTAAAGAAACAACGCAAGACGAGTGTAGCGAATTAATATACGATCACACATTTTCGTAGGAGCACGTCAGTTTCGTATTGCCACGTCATTTTCAATTATCAAATATATTGATACACAAGATTGCGCGTATTAACGGAGAAACGGAAGGACCACCGAAGGCGCGGATGGCGCAGCGGCGAGCTTTAATCCGGCACAAGAGAGACACGGTTGAAGACGCGCGCGTGCGATGAGGCGATATACATCCGAGGGAGCGGCTAAGACGAAAAGCGAAATCTCAGCAGAAGGACCGCCACTAGCGGCGGAAGGGCCGGCGGGGACGTCGGAGGCCGGAGGCGGCGACGGCGGCCGCAATGTCGATACAAGGGGTCGATTGTGGCTTGAAAGGCACCGCCGATCCGACGACGCTGGGACCGCATTCGGCGGTCAGGCCGGTGCACGGCGGTACAGTGGCCGACTTGTGCCGCGGCGATGCCGATTCCCGATGCCGAGATTACGGCGGATTTCGCGCATCGCGCGTCCCATCCCGGGACACGCCGTACGCGCTGTGGCCGCTATTAGCTTCGGCTTTGATTGGCTGCGTTTAATGAGCCGGGCGACACGCGTGTATAAATTGCTGCTTGCTTGTCTTTGAAGATATTTCGAGGCGGTTGCGGGAGGATTTCTCTTCCTCCTCCTCCTCCTCCTCCTCCTCCTTGGCGACGTCTCAACGTTCCTTTCCCGTCTGCGCGTTTTGCCGTATGTATCGCGGATGTCATCGCCGAATTTCTGCGAGTTCGTCTCCGTGCCCGCCTCGCGGTCATGGACCACGCGTTGGCGTCCCTTGGCGACAGATGAATGGCTTCGAAAGAGGAAATGTGTCTCCTCGAGTAAACTACGACATGCATATTAACGACGAAGTTAGATACTTCTTCGAACGGCGCAGCTGGCGAATTACGGAACGGCATTTTATTATATTATACTGATATTATATTTATATTGTACTCTTAATTGTTTTATTCTATTTACTAAAACATTTTTTAATTAACGCTTGATTTCCATGTGTCGCCTATAGATGTAGGTCCTACGTCTATGATCGTCACCAATCAAACACGTTTTTTTGTTATGCGCTTGTCGTTTGTCGCGCGTCAACGCATGCATAGAAACCGAGATGACAGTGAAATATTTTATCCGTACGTGGCGTGCGTATCTTTCGTACTTTCTATTTCTGTGCTTGCACGTGAATATAACTTAATTGCTATACTTGAATATAGTTCAGAATCAAAAATACACGATGTCGAAGACTATGGAATCAACATTCGCGAGAGTTGTGTCATAAAATTAAAGACGTCTCACGAAAATTATCTGAAGGATGTATAAATCTCTTCAAAGTAAGCAAATTCCTACCCACAAATTAATTTATACTGTTAAACATCTAAAACAACATCTAATTTTCCAGAAATGCCGCGAAACATGGACGTGAAATAACCTTTCTAACAGCTTTAGACAAATATTGATTTTGTATTTTTCGAAGTATTAATTGATAATTTTATCGCATGATTTTTAACTCGCATTAAAACTCAGTATGATACCAATTAGAAAAAATTTCTCGGAGCGCCCTGATACGTTCGCAAATAAATACACTCAGGAAGTCAAAACGAACTACTTTTTTTCGCTGCAATGCAACAAGAATACCGCCATACGTTTCGATACGGAATCAAGACGAGCTTCGAAAATATCCACTTCGACAATCGAGACGTATCTGAGAATAAGTCCAGAGTCAACACTTGAAGAGAATCACGACGATTTGAGACCTTTTTTAACGTTACTGCCGTTCGAGGATAAATTCATTCGAAATTCGAGATGCGCGAAATCGAGCGAGGCCGAGGGCAGGCGGCATGTCTTTACGAAAATCTTCGGATCAAAAACTTCGCAGGCGGAGATGTTCGAGGGATCCATAAAACATCGAGTCGTGGAGTTCCTCGACGGTAAAAGTTCGACCATCATGACTTACGGCATGAGGGATTCCGGGAAGACTTACACGCTGTTCGGCAATTCCGGGTCGCCCGGTATAATAACGCACAGTATCGAGCTTGTGTTTTCGGCGATAAACTGCACCATAGCGCCGTGGTACAAACCAACGTTTCGGGACACCGTGCTCCGGCTGAACGAGGCCGCGCGGACCACGGAGATGCAGCGGAAGACGCGAGTATTAAACGAACGGATTATAGAGGCGGAGGCCAGAAGATTTCTGAGGAACTTGCGGCCGAGGAACGCGGATCCTGATCAGCGAGACGGGGATCCTGATCTTGAAGGCGAGGAGTGCTATAGCGAGTCGATGTACGCCGTATGGCTGTCCTTCGCGGAGATTTACAACGGAAACGTTTACGATCTGTTGGACGATGCGGAAAGACGCTCCCCGTTGAGGTTGTACGTGAACACCGAAGGGCGAACTTGTGTTTGCGGTTTGCAAAAGGTGCACGTCATAACCGCACTGGAAGCCTGTCAGATTCTCTTGGCGGGCCGATCGCGAACGAGCGCCTTCGCGACAGGATCGTGGAGCTCCCGATCGCACACCATTTTTACGATGGAATTGCTGAAATATCAGAAGGATCACGCCGCGGAAGATGTGGTGCTTAGCACTTTGACTTTTTGCGACCTGGCTGGCTCTACGCAGTTCGAAAAATCGCACAAGCTCGAAGCGAGCAGCATCAACAATAGCCTACTGGTACTTGGTAGATGCCTCAAGGCCATGAGTCAAAATCAAATGGCACCGTTTCGCCAATCAAATTTAACGAGGATATGTCAACGGGCTCTCTCGGGTGAAGAAAATCTGAGTATTATAGTGAACGTCGTTTTTCGGCCGGGTCTCTGCGACGAAATACAGAGCATTTTTAAATTCTGTGACATAGTTAGAAAACTACAAATTAATCGTCACAATGGATGCAAACAATTTTGCGAATTTGAAAAAACTATCCGTGATCTTGAAACATGCGATGGTAACGTTTTGGCGTCACCGTCTAGTCATCAGAGTTTGTTTGAGACCGCAGAAACGACTGGCTGTGTCAATTCGGCGTGCAAAGATATACAGGAGCAGAATAGAAGACTAAAGGAAGAATTGGAAACTGTGAAGAGTGATATGCTAAATTGCGAATATACAATTCGGCAACAACTAGCCGACCGTTATTCGCGCATGTTCGAAGAGCTGGAAGGGACTTACAAAGAGAATACCAAGAAGATCGAAACTGAGGGACAGGATCTGTTGAAATGGTCGGTCGAACAAGTCGAAAGCTTTTACAAGGAGCGCATCGATAATCTAATGCGGCGCAAGAAGAGAAAGCGAAGCGATAGCGGCGATTACGTCGAGGACAATCGTGCGCTTTGCGAGGAGTTCGAGGCCGAGAATGCGCAGGTTACTTCCAAGATGGTGGTTCTGAAAGAAACGGTGAAGAAATTGCGAAAGGAGAACAGGACAATCCTCTACGAGAAGAACAAGTGCAGCTTCGAATTGGCCTTGGTGACGGAAGAATTGAAAAAGTTTCGACAGCTCACGCGAGCCAGGATCCGTAAGTGGGGTGGCAACGATGAAAACATCAAGGACGATTGTCTCATGAACAATCTGGAACAGTTAATGGATGAAAAAGTGGAAAGAGCCGAGAGGAAACTTGAGGAGATGAGCGAATACATCCGCGCGATGGAGAACAATGACGCTGAAGCTGCTTCTGGAGCGAAACAGAAATTATCAAAATCGGGCGATCTTTCGAATGATACTTTGAACAGGATGAAAGAACTGGAGGAGGAACTTTTACGCAAAGAAGCTTGCATTATCAGACTGCAGCATCACTCACAATTGCAAGAGAGACAGCTTGCTGAAATTCAACGGGGCTTGAACGATACAAAAAGTGACAGTACAAGCGATGGAAAGTGCAGATGTGACCGATCGACAAATATTTCATTTGACGATTATACGGCAGACGGCTCTTTTCAGGATAACACGTCTGTTGAGAAAAATTCCCCACAGATGTGCGTTAATTCATCCATTAATGAACAACACGAAATTAACGATTGGATCGTCGTTCCAACATTATTTTCTAGCTCTGTCGAATCACCGAAGAAGAATCTTTCGAACGTGTCAAACGTTGATCGCAAAAGTCTCTTCGAAAGTAGTGGCAGTATGGATTGCAGCGGTTCTAGATCGAGCGAAAGAAGCAGCAAAGATGACTCGGGTGTAAGTAGCGAATTACGACGATCTACCAGCATAAGTAATCGCACAATTAGCCGCGAAAACGAAGACAAGTGCACGCAAACTTGCGTCATCGACGAGGACATTCAGAATGCAATGGAAGAAAACGTGGAACAGTTCAAAGATAGCGCGAACTTGAATAAATGGAACTATCAAGAGACGTTACATGTTGCCGAATTGTCTCAAAATCTGGAAACTATCCGGGACGTGATTTACGCGTTGGATCACGAAGCTGCTTGTACGAATGAATATCAGTTGTTACGTAAAGAAGGAGTGCTGACTGAAGAGGAGAATAAAATTGCAATCAAGCGCGATGGTTTATTCAAGGTGATAGAGAATGAAATTCAGGAATACAAGCGTGAGATTCGCGAGCTAATCCGCAAGCTGGCAATTAAGGAAGAAAATGAGAGTCGAATTTTCAAATATTTGGAAAGATACATAGACAGATCTATAGCCTTTGAAAATAAATTATCTTTGATGCGTAATCGACTGGACAAAGCGTATAGTAAATGCGCGAACGAACACTTACCGAAGATCGAAAGTCTGGAAGATGAAGTGTTACGAAAGACCCTGCAGATAAACGAGCTCGATGGAAGGATCGCTAAAATGCAGCGCGAGCTCGCGGATGGTTACGAATTGTTCCAGAAGATACACGATTTTGAGATTATTGCGAACAGATGTCAGAGAGACAAGAACGAGCTTTACAGGCAGTTGCATGAATGCTCCGAGACCCAATTGACTCTCGAGGATAAACTGAAGAAATTAACAATGAAGATAACGGAAAGAGAGAGCGAAGTTATCTCGTTGAAGAGTGAAGTACGCAATATAGCAGATCTGAATGTCGCGAACAGCGAGAAAGCGAGAAATCTGAGCGAGCAAATTACCGAAGCTGACGAAAGTATCGGTACGGCTAAGGAAGATCTGCATTGTTGTCAAGATTTGCGTAAAAATGTGGAGAGCACCATGAAAGCGGAAATTCGCGACTTCAGATCTTGGTTCTCGGATCATAAAAATAATACAGCGCTCCTGAACGAAATTTGCAAGACTTATGACGATAGCCAGGATGAAATAACTCGTTTAAAGATGCAACTGGAGCAGAAAGAATTAGAAGCAATTCTACTTAAAACTAACAGAGATGCTATAATAAAAAAATATGAGATTTTAATGAGACATTTTCAAAATGAAATCGAAGAGAAGAACAAACACTTTAAAACTGTTGCGAACAGTTCAAATAACTTGGAGAGATCTTTAACCGAGAATCAAAGTCAGCCGGAAGAAACCTTAAAAGACCATGAAGCGGAAAGTAGTTTCGCGAGCAGTTCCTGTTTCGTGCCTAAACACGTTAGTTCAGAGGCATTAAATGTTACTTCAACCTCAAGTGAAGATTCCATAACTTTTTCCGATGAGAAAGGTAGTAAATTCAATGATAACGAATCCTGTCAGGTCTGTTCACACACAACATAAAATATTTAATTATAGAATAGATAAACAATTAACGCATAATATGTTTAATTGTTATAATAGATATTTTAAAAGTTTTTTGATGAAATTAAAAAATTTGTTAACTGTTAGTACGCATTAGCATACACGTAAAAGTTGGAAAATTTAATAATTGCGAAAAGAGATCTCGCATATAATATCCTACATCTTTAAAATTTTCAGACTGATACCAGTAAAAAGTCAACCAAGACAGATACCAGTGTAGAGTCAAATAAATATATTCGTCTAATTTTACGTCCGCCTGTACGTGAAACTGATTGTTCTGAAATAAAAGATTATTCCAACATGAGATTACGAGGTACCGAAGACAAGAAGAAAAAAGATGGGATGGAAGTTAGAAGGATCTCTGGTAAAACCGCACTTTCACAACTCTAAACAGATATTAATAATGATTCGGAAACAACAACGTGACAGTAAGCAATATATCCAAATAATTAATGATCGTTCAATTATATATAATTCTTGTATATAATTATTGATATTAAGAATATTGCCGCGTGCATTTTTAAAATAATTTGACATTTATTTATGTTTCGTGTATTTCATGTATTTCGTACTCCGCTGAATGTTTCGTATACAATTTTAAACACGTGTCATACTTTAAATTTAATAGAGAAAAAATTGTGCACGTCTCAAATGTTATACGTTTTAATCCAACTGTTATATGTTTAATTTGTATTGTTGTCTCTGTATTGTTCTCTCGTTTGCACACACATTTAGCTCATAAATTAATAAACTTTTATGTAACCTTTACATATTTTTTCAATAATTGCCAACAAAAAATTGTGTGAATTTATTTTGAACGAGATTACGCATAATACAATTTGAAGTCTAAAACACTATTTTGCAATTTGATCAATATTATTATCGTTTTTATTATTTTAGCTGTATAAAAGATAACACAAGACTATAGTAGATATTACGTGAGAGATGTGCTGTATCAATATCTTATTATGATGTTATTCGTAAGAGGCAATAGTGCGATTAGCGATTGGAAATATTATCGATATATCAGACATTCCCCCGCGAGACGAGATCATGTGTAATGGCAAAATGTGGTTCCGACATTCGTTACAATAAACGAATCATCCACAAATAGAGGCAGCAACTGCGTTAAGCTTAGTCGTGCAACAGCGGACCCTGCTCCGGATTTTATTGCCAATATGCTATAATTTCTGACATTAGATGCCGCTGACGCTTTCGTCCGCTCATTACAACCCGCCCCATCCCCAAACGTGATCTTCCCGCGAAAACGGCTATTCTGATCTTTCTCTCTCTCTCTCTCTCTCTCCCCCCCTCTCTCTTTCGCGGATACTGATAGATGAAATTATGAGGAGGGATATCGAAATTGGACCGCGACCTCCATTCCGTACAATCTTTTGGTTTCTGATGATATTACCGGGATGTGCGATGTGATAAGGGGATACGAATAAATGAAAGGAAATCGTCCAATACGAAATTGCAATCTGCTGCGAGTTTGCGGATGTAAGAACGGTGCGCTAAGATTACTTCTAGTGATACGTTTTAACATATTTCTAATCGTTAAAAAGATCCCTTCTTGAAAGAAAGTAAGGAGTTGATTTTTCTTAAATAACAAGAAATTCATTTAAAATAATTTAAACAATTTAAATTATTCTGAAAGATCGCGTGCGCGCGGATATTGAATTGTATCTGCAAAATGAATTTATTCCGTTAATTGTTTGGCTCTTGGACTATCAATCCGATTGTAATTATTCTCATATTACTTTCTCGTAGACGAACTTGTTATCGCGATGAAAACAGCCACGAGTGGTTTGCGAAATCGCAGATCGCAGCGGCCATTTTCGCTAGCTCACCTCTTCGTCGTCGGTGATTTCTCGGGGTAAATGTACCGCGAACTTTCCTCTTTCAATTGGCAATAAGATTTGATCGTTGCGGGAAATATCATCCAATTTCCTTTCTCTCTTGGCCGGGCCGGAACATTGCCGCTCGTCCGCCTACTCACGTTTGCCCTCTAACTTCACCATCAACCACCCTCTTTCCGTTATCCTTTACACGCCCGGTCGCAAGACATAAAGATGGCGAAATCATCCCCTTTGGTTCGCCAGTTGAAATTGCACCGGTGCAATATTCGTACCGATGCTTGTTCGTGGTATGTTTAACACTTTATAATTATGATTTTTTTTAAATTGATTAAAAAAACTTTGTTTTGACGTGATTTATTTTTGAATTATCTTATTTAATAAAAATGGAATAGAAAAAGTATAGAAAGAGAAAGAAAATTATTTAATAGAACAAATTAATATTACTACTTACTATGTGTGTCGAATATTTCATTTACAAATCAACTAAAATAAAGAAATATATATTTTGTATTATTTAAATAATGTATATGAGAGTTTGAAATTTAGAACAGCTGACGTAGGGTATACACGCTGTTTGAAGGTTGAGCGAGCACTCGGAGGGGTAATCAGATAGAGGAGGAGAAAGTTATTCCCGGTGAAGTTTCCTCGAGACATTAGTTTATAATTCGGCAATCCCGGATCAGTATTTGTCACGATTAGCCGAACCCTCCCCCTTCCACCAACGGTTGGAATATCTGTTTCTGGGGAGGTCTCATCCCTTTCTTCACCCCTTCTTCGTGGATCCTGCGCGAGTTTTCATTAATTTCGCCCAATCCTGCCGAACTATTGTCGTAGTTACGCACAATTTCGGCACGACAATGCCCAGCTTTCTCTGGGATTGACGTAGACGAAGGGGGGAAAGCGGGCGAGGGAAGGAGAGGCCGAGCCTGTAAGGAGTTATAACGATGTCGAGTGGGAAGGGTAAGAAGTTCTCCGGGTTCAAAGCCCGGGGTGGCATGGATTATATTTCTCGTGTCATTTGCCTTCTGAGTTAGACCGATGACGTTTCGCCTCGAGTTTCTCTGTAGAAATTTTGCTACGCGAAGCGAGAAGAGACTCGTCGGAGAACGGGATTTGATAGAAAAGGATTTCGATACAAATTGAAGAACTTCCATTTATATTAACAAGTAACATATATATGTGTAATAAGCATATATATCATAAGCGCTTTAAACGAAATATTTCTATTAATTATTAGCAGAAAGACAAGAAAGTTATTCTCTTGTAATACGCATCATTTTCTTGATTTTTTATAATTGTTCATAATAATTAAAACAATTTGATATAAATATGTAATTACAAATTTAAAAGATATAAAAAGTAACTCCACTGCTGATCAAACATTTATGAGATACATATTCACAACGAGATGTCGAGAAAAAGTACGAACCGTTGCTCGGACAAATACGGCACTCCTGCGAAAACTTTGACTTCGATATGGCGACTTTTGTCAACGTCGAACGGTATCTTAAGAATTAGCCTCGCGGGATTTCGAGGCGAGAGGCTACCGCTGGCTGCCGGCGCCGACGTTGAAAACACACGTGTGAGTGTCACGGTGGGGCTACAAGAAGAGACGGGCGGAATCGTCTGGATCCATTTGCAATGTCACCCGGACAATTTCCAACGGACAAACTTCCATCTTCGAGCTTCGGGGGTCGGACCCGCGATATTAGAACAAACGATTTCATCTACTACGTCCTCGTGCCCCACCCCAAGATCGTTCCCACCGCACCCTCGAGATCTACGTGCGGGCCTAGAGATACAGAGACGATTTCATAAGAAATATCGTGCCGCCTATAGACATAAATATTCAGTTGCTCCAATATGATTAAATTAAAATTTGTATGCAGGATAATTGCAATACGGCAACACGGCATAAAACACAGTCATCCCGGAGATATAATTTAAATTAATGATACAATAATTTTTCACAGGAATGATTTTCAAACATCGTCTATCACTATCAAAGTAATTATAATTATTAATAGAAATATTAGCCGTTTTAATTAATTTGTAATTCCATTTGTAAATATTATGAATTAAATCTGTTTATGCATTTAACTTATTACGATTTTTCTTTTGTCGGAAAAGTAAAGTGTATTACGACACTGGCTGGCATTCGTCGGTGGTTATGTATTTTGCCAATATTGTGGAAACGCATAAGATACAGATATTCGTGGTTATTCGCAGCGTTTTCATCACCGTACGCAGGCACGCTGTATGAGAGCATCCCCGGATTAAATACAGCCACGCTTCCGGACGATGACTGCGTAGCACCGCGTCGCGCCGCGTCGCGTCGCGCTGGATAAATCGCGATTGCGTAATATCGCGAGCGAAGCGTTTGCGCGAGTAGAGAATTGCGTAAAGGCAAATATGCGATAGACTACCCGAACGTCCCGTATTGTATGATTGTCTCCGTTCTCCGCCCCCTTCTCCAACCATCCCTGTCCGCCTCTCGCCGTCGCCGCCACCGCCACCGCCACCGCCGCCGCTGCCGCCGCCGCCGCCGCCGTCGCGTTTCGCAGGAAATGCCTGTCTTGCATTTCCCGGCATTGTAACCACCCCGTCGGCTTCGGAGTATTGCCAGCCTCCACGTTTGAATTGCATTACCTATTATTGCTTATTGTTCGCACGCTACGTGCCTCTCGTCTCCTGCGTGCCCGGATTTTCCCCTCTTCGGTCCACCCCTGCTATTCCTTTCTACTAATCTGCGGCTTGCCTTTGCCTTGCTTCTTTTTAGCTTCTTTTTACTCGCTATCGCGAATATCGTAGCATTAGTGTTCCACGCTTCTTTTTAATAGGAATTAAATTATCTCCTAAACATGATTGAGCTAAATTAATAATACGCTACGATATTTCACCCCGTATCAGTATAAACTTCCGCAGCCGCGAAGTGGAGTAGTAACGATATATTTGATACATTTCACTTGCACTTGTGAATGTTTGCGGACATCGAGCAAAGAAATGCCGAGGTCGTGCGCTCAACGATCTATCCCCGAGCTCGCCGACTTGTATGCTAAAAACGTACGGAATCAGATTCGACCGACTGGCCCGGAGCGACTGCCGCACGATCCCCTGGCGCAACTTACCGAGATTTTATTCATTTTTACATATGACCGAGCGGGCGATAAGGAAACACCCGTGATATTTCACGTTTTTATATGCGGCCGCGTTTGCCTTGAGGTGTTGGCCGGCCGCGCACGCCCTCCGTATAGAAATGTTATACGCTCCGGCCCGTGCCTGATATGCGAAATAAGTAGCCTCCGGGCATCGGAAAGGCCGCAGCCTCGTTAACTCGGCGTCGTAATCCAAGGATTGCGTCGGCAAGGAGAACCGTTTTCCTCGTGATCTCTTCGAACCCGAAACTTCAATGTCGCGTCTAAAATGACATCGTTCCCAACTGACGTTTGACGTTTTAAGAATCGCTGTCTTATCTTGTATCTTTGACGAAACATCGACGTTTAAAATGCAGACATTTTTATGCTTTTGTATACTTTATTAATTTGTAATATATAATTGTTCTAATGCAAAACAACACGTACAAATAGGAATACATCCATGCATACGTATCTCACATGTGTGTGGCACATCTCTAAACTTAAAAACTACCAAGTCTATATGATTAAATACAAAATAGCTCATGCATAACTTCTGAGCATTTCTCTGTTTTAAAGTTACGCCGGATACTTAATCGAGAACTTTGACGATCGCTCGATGTCGGAAGAGATCGTATACTTGTTACGGATCCGCAAGTGCGGGCACGTGTGCTCAGGACGGTTTATGTACGCTCATGTGACAATATGGCGTCGCGGGTGGTTTGAGTGGCTATTGAGATGCTCGACTGCCGAGCGCGCGCGCGGTGCCCTTACAAAAGAGCAGTACTTACCAGATATTGGAGGC